CTATAGCACTCAGGAACATTGTAGCTATCTACCAGTGAAAGAATTTTGGTAATCCGAACAATATACAAACTTACAAATTTTATCTCTTTATAATATTTTTTTTTTGAGTGGAAAATCATCAAATGACTTCTCCCGCCCAGGGCCGGGCGGAAGGGAGTGTCAGACTCTTACTGACTAAATACCCCCCGTTCCTTCTCCTGCTCTGTGCCGAGGTCGCGGTGCCTCATTGCGCTTACCCCGCAACCCCGGCTGATCTCTTTATAATATTAATGGCTGATTTTTCATTGCTTTTTCATCGTTATGCAAATTCTAGGACAATTTTATAATAATTATTTAAAAAAAAACAAAATAGAGATGTCTCTGCCACCCCTACTCAAAGTAAAAGATGTAACAGTAGTAACCACAGCAGCACAGCTTGTAGCCACAATATCCGTGTCAGCTCAAACCGGGCTCGAACCCACTACCATAATGGTACATGACACACTGTTAACCGATTTACAAGATATCTCTTGTTATTTATAAATATACTCGTAAATTGTACTTGGTTTTCTCGGCTTTTTTATAATAAAACAATTCTGAAGATGATTTTTCTTAAAAAAAAATGGCTCCACGGATTAAGTTTGGGAGAGTGATGCTTCGGCATGAGCGGGTCGGCTCGACCGGAGTGAAACCACGGCCTCACAGAATACCGGCGTGAAACAACGCTTCGGTTGCGCTTCTTCATGTGAATTGGGGTACTATGCCCCCATTCCTATTCCCCAAATCCCTTACCCCCCAAAAAACTAGCCACAGACTAGTGATTCCTCTAGTTTTACGGGACCTTTCGGGGTTTAGGGTTTTGGAAATTTAGGGATTGCGGGAGCAGTCGGTTTTCTGTGAGGCCATGGTATTACTTCGGTCGAGCCGACCCATTGGTGCCGAAGCTTGGCACATTGTAGCTATCAATCAGTGAAAAAATTTTGCCAATGTTCCAAATATTACCTTCTACATACAAACTTACAAATGTTACCTATTTACAATATTAGTATACATAGGAGTATAGATTTACAAAAATAAATTCATTATTATTGAAGTCATTGGATGATTTTTGCCTCTCAAAAACAAAAGTTGCTCATTTTGTATTGTTTTTATGGTACTCTAAACCTTATAATTACCATAATACTACTGTGTTTATGTAAGTACTATGATAGAACTTTCTATAAATTAATTACAGTGCTAATTACAAAGACCACATACTAAGTTAAAATAACACTGTTTTCTAATTACAAGGTAATTAATTCAAAGAATCGTTGAAACATTCTGGTCGTAATCCTACTCAGTGAATACAAAACTTGATGTTTACATACTAGTTTCTGCCACCGACATCGCCCGCAGTACTCTATGTGCTATTCTATCGATCTCAGTGCCAAATTACATTCAGAACCGATCAGTAGGTTTACGTAATATGAAGGTTTTTGTTTTTCTGTCTTTTAAACCTTTTTTGTGTTGTATTTTTGTTTTCAATCGGCTTTCATATCTAATGACATTTCCCTTTCTTTCTTTCTTTCCTTCTATAGTCGGTTTTACCATTTGACTAAAAAGCAAAAGAAAGAAAGAAAGAAAAAGTATTTATTCGCGTCTAGGACGCACATAAGACACAGAACAAACATGTGTTTAAACACAAAATTAAAAAAAAACATGGTAATACAATATAAAAAAAGAGAAATATATGCGTCATCATATCATCAAAAAATATGCGTCACAAGCACGCGAAATGGCCCTCGCTCAGATATGCGAGACATCTTCTATCTTAACTATAAGTGTGGGAGAGCCATGCTTCGGCACGAATGGGTCGGCTAGACCGGAGTGATACCACGGCCTCACAGAAGACCGGCGTGAAACAACCACAGCGTTGTGTTTTGCCATGTGAGTGAGGTTACCGGAGGCCCAATCCTTCCCCACCCCCAATCCCTCCTCAATCCCTAAATCTCCAAATCCCTTATCCCTAAAAGGTCGGCAACGCACTCGTAACTCCTCCGTTGCGGGTGTTCATCATGGGCGGCGCTGATTGCTTACCATCAGGTAATCTGTCTGCTCGTTTGCCGACCAATTACATAAAAAAAGACGGTATCGCAGCGCTGATTTTCAGTGCTGGCCGACAACTAACATCTGACGTCAATCGGTGCAGAAACTTAAATAAACGTTATGATCAAATAATCCTAGCCATCAAAATTATCATAACTTTCACTCTTCAATCTTAGAACTGGTTGCTCGATACCATATCAAACATTCGGAACTGACTTTTACCAACTTTTTTTAATCGGGATTTTAAACGCACTGTATACTTTCTTTTTTTGATAACATAGATATTAAGTTTTATTACCATACTAGCTATTCTCACGCGGTTTCACCCGCTACTCGGCTCCATTTGATCGTAGCGTGATGTTTGATAGCCTATAGCACTCAGGAACATTGTAGCTATCTATCAGTGAAAGAATTTTGGCAATCCGACCAGCGGTACTTACAAACTTGCAAATTTTACCTCTTTATAATATTAGTATAGATGTAGGTAAGACCGGAGTGAAACTACGGCCTCACAGAAAACCGGCGTGGAACAACCACAGCGTTGTGTTTCACCGTGTGATCACTGACAAAAACTGTCAAAAACTTAGATTTTTGTTTTAAATAAATTATTAATTACCTTAGTACAACAAGTAACTTTTTTTTAATACTGTAACCATCATTCTACTAACATACTTACTAAGTCATGTTTATTAGAAACACTTTATTTTCAATACAAAATGACCTTGGCATGGACCGAAGTACCTCCAACGAAGTCACTGGGTCAATCAGACGATTACGATCGCAATCACCCAGCACAATCATTGATACAAAATTCTTCCGTAAGAAGTGACTAAGTGAGTGGCAGACAGCACACAGCTTTTTTTTGTGAGGGGAAAATCATCAAAGGAGAAGTCATTTGATGATTTTCCCCTCACGAAAAAAACTCCCTCACTCCCTCCCGCCCAGGGCCGGGCGGGAGGGAGTTTCTTCTCCTGCTCTGGGCCGAAGTTGCGGTGCCTCATTGCGCTTACCCCACAACCCCGGCTGAACATCAGCTCTATAGGGCTCCGTCTGTCATGTGGTGGTCTATTGGCTCTATGAGGCGCGCGCGTAACGCTACACGCCGTACGCTCGGGTCTGGTTCTGGTCGGGCGGCGAGCTAAGATAGACTTACTACAGTAATGAAAAAAAGCTTAAATTTTTAATGGCCAAAATCCAGTCTAATATAGAGTCAGTTCAAATTCAAATTCAAATTCATTTATTCATTTATTCATTTTGTGGACATATGTGATTACAGATGTTTTTCAATATTTTGTTGTACAGACCATGTACACCGATAGGCATACAAAAGCAGGATTATGAAGATAATGAAGTCGATATAAATGAAATGTCAAAGATTTTTGTCAAGATTCGTGTTAGCATGTCAAATTATAAAATTCTTAATTAAGTTTCAATTGCAATGAACTAGGGAGAATGTTATGATAATAGAAAAAATAATATAAAAAAGAAATATTAAAAAATTTACTTCTGTGAAATTTGGTACAGACATAGTTTGGAACTCGAGGAAGGACATAGGATAGTTTTTACACCTAAAATCTGCAGGAAGTCACTATTCCACGCGAACAAAGTCACGGCTAGGCTAGTATACTATAAAAAATTTTTTGCTTACCATTTTAAGCAATTTTTGTGCTTACCTACAATTAGGTCATATAAAACCTATTAGTAGATAGCCAACCTTACAATTCACAATTGTAATTAATTCACTTGATGACGATAATGTATTGAAAAACTAGTAATTCAAGCTTGAAAACATAATGATTCCACACAATGATTGCTCTCACAGAATTCCCACAATAGCGAAAGTCGAATTATGCTCGCTACAAGTAATATTTACTATAACAAACATTGAAAATTTTCCCATAAATATACAGATAGACGGACAGACAATAGCACAACGATTTTCTATGATCAATTACATTTCTTTTTCTCCGACACTTATGCTCTTAAATCAGCGTTTATTGATGCTAGATTTGTTTCATAATATCATTTCGTTTTATTTTAAAAATGATAGTTACAAATGATTATTATCTTAAACTAGATACTCTCGTGGTTTCACCCGCTGTTCGGCTCCATTTAATCGTAGCGTGATGTTTTATAGCCTATAGCATTCAGGAACATTGTAGCTATCTATCAGTCAATTTTGGAAATCCGACCAGCGAGCGGTTCCAATGGTTACCCCCTACATACAAACTTACAAGTTTTACCTCTTTATAATATTAGATAGATAAAAAAACACGTTGCCTCACACTAGGACTAATTTTCTCCTGTGTTGTGGGTGTGTTTACAAACATAACATTTCACAAACACATCAAAACCAAACCCGGAACAACAATTTGTGGATCACACGAGTTGTTCCAGGTTGCGTGGCAGCCAGTTGCCAGCCACTGAGCCAACCGTGCAGTCTAATGTGGACATTTCAGCTTAATTCTCCCAAAAGACCAGCAACATGACGCACGTCCATGTGCGGTGGTGATTGCTTACCATCAGGGTTTTCGTCTTCTCGTTTGCCGACCTTATACTTTAAGTAAAACAAAACCTATTCAAAAATGTTTTTGCGAAACTTTTAGTTATATGTATAGGAGCCAAGATTTATTGCTAAATAACGTATACTGTTTTAAATTCTAATTAAGAACTTTAGTAATCAGCAACTTCCATGGACACCCGCAATAAATGAGTTACGAGTGCGTTGCCGGCCTCTTGAGGATTAGGGAGGATTACCGGAGGCCCGGTTACCTCCCACACACGCTATCACTCCGGTCGAGCCGACACATTGGTGCCGAAGTATCTGAGTCCTCTCAACATTTATCAAAACCTCTCAAAATATCACCAATAGAAATCAAATAAATACGTGAAACAGAGGCGATTTTCATCTTATGTGTATCTTCTTTTGTTCGCAGAGGAAGCTGATGCTGAAATCAGAACATCAGGGCGTTCCATTGAGGAGATGCCTTCGAAGATAGGCCGGGAGATCACCGACTCTCTAGGTTCCCTGACCAATATCGTCGAGCGTGGTATGGCCAGGTAATACTTAACACAATTATTAAACTTACGAAACTCGTAGGACCGATAATTCCCTCCCCTACCCAATAAAAATACATAAAGCATGGTAAAACAACATAACAAAAGTAGAGGGTAGGAGAAAAATATGCGTCCGAGCACACAAAATGGCCCTCGCTCAGCATTATGCAGCGACCCCATACGAAATAGTGTCGCGGCGCTGATTTTCAGCGATGGCCGACACTAACGCATGACACCAATCAGTGCAGATAAGAAAATAAGTTAAATACTAAAATGTGTTTTATATATAATTGTTGAAATAGTATACTACTATAAAAAAAACAAACTGCATATGATTAAAAAAAAACAATTTCCCCAATCTCACCCTACCTCTAAAAGGCCAGGCACACATGATCAAATTCTCTTTTGTTTCGGGTGTCCATTGGCGAGGCTTATTGCTTACTATCAGACCAGGACATACGTCTGCTCTTTTGCCGACCTAGCTCATGAAAATCTCTCAAATCACCAGTGACAGATCTGTGTGACAATAAGTGCTTATCTTCGTATCCGTAAATTTTAATCTAATGGGACAAAAGAATTAAATTATTTGTTTTAATGGGCTCTGATTGCTAAGTTAACTCGACTTATTTCAAGCGGTGCTAGGGTCTTACTTTCATTCTTGCCGTTCGTTCGAAGGGAGATACAATTAAGAATTAGGAATAGAAGTTAAATAACTAAATATTTTACTTCAACGTTGCTAGATTCAGAGAAAAAGGATAGGTGTCATATCAGACTATAATCTATCTCTGTGCCAAATTACATATATCCAGATCCGTTCAGTAGTTTTTACGTAAAACAGTAACAAACATCCATTAATACTTAAAATCTTTCGCGTATTAACAATAGTAAGATTATCAACAAAATTACACATAGTTATATCACAAGTTATCATAATTGAAATAACACAAAACAATAAAATAAATAATGAAATAAAAAATCACTTTCAAGAACTAAAATAATAAATTTCAAGTTTTATTTTTATTATTATTTCATTGGATAACAAATACAATCCGACATCATCATTGGTTGGCTTTCATAAATTTAAATTTTAATTCGAAAATAGAAACCATATTTATTAAATTACATTTTGTTATTGTAATAGAAATGTGATATTTTAGTGATAATAATAAATGATATTGTGATGTGAATTTAAATGATGATAAGTAATAAAATAACGCTTAAAAATTGTTGTTGTTGTTATGTGTTTAGTTATTGGAAAGATATTTTCATCATGATCTTCACCGTATGTCAGTGGTGTCTAAATAATCATAGAAAGTACATATTATCTTGGAAAAAGTCACATTATTGGTACTTGCCAGGTTTCGGAACCGCACCCTCATGCATGAGAAGCGCCTTAACCTCCGGGCCACGACGTCATTTGTAACCTTGTGTATATATATAGCATTTGCCCGCGACTCCGTTCGCGTGTAATAGTGACTTCCTGTATATTTTTGGTATAAAAACTACCCTATGTCCTTTCTCGAGTTCCAAACTATGTCCGTACCAAATATCACAGAAATCGGTTCAGTTGTTTAGGCGTGAAAAAAAGACAGACAGACAGACAGAGTTACTTTCGCATTTATAATATTAGTTTGGATTTTTCTTCATTCTCATGACGATCAAAAGTCGGAAACATGCTAGATCATGTCCGTTCATTCCAGGCGTTACCTCCTTTTTATTATTAAACAAAAAATATGAAATCCCAACTGAATAATGGTATTTAACTAGCCATTGTAATAATAATAAGATACATAATGATGATTTTGTGGTTTATGATTTGATGATTCGATCTTTTGGTTGATGTATTAGAAAAGCATATTATAAGCGCTTGATATTAAAAGTAGATAAGTGTGAGATGGTATGAGCCATGCTCCGGCACGAATGGGTCGGCTCGACCATGAGTGATAGGTACCTCACAGAAAACCGGCGTGAAACAACCACAGCGTTGTGTTTCGCCGTGTGAGTGAGGTTATCGGAATTCCAATCTCTCTCCCCAATCTGGAATCTGCGAAACCCTAATCCCCAAAAAGCCAATCTACTAGTAACTCTGCCGGAGATGCGGTTGTCTACAGGCGGCGCTGATTGCTTACCATCAGGTAATCCAGCGACCGCTTCTCATACATGACCAACCAACCAGGTGCTGGTTCAAACCCTGGCAAGCACCAATGTGACTTTTTCCGAGTTATATGTGCTTTCTATGATTATTTAGACACCACTGATATACGGTGAAGGAAAACATCGTGAGGAAACCTGGACTTATAATTTCATGCTCAAACCTTCTCCGTGTGAGAAGAGGCCTTTGCAGTAGCTAAAAGCTGATAATTATAGAAATGAAGAGAAATAACTTGTTACAAAAATATTGATCTAGCAGTTGTATTAGAAATGAATTCGGAATCTTCATTATTATTATAAATACGAAAGTTACGATGTTTGGATGTTTGTTACTCAATCACGCCAAAACTGCTGGACGGATCTGGACGAAATTTGGCACAGGCATAGGATGCACTCCGAAATAGGACATAGGCTACTTTTTATTAACATACCACGCGAGCGAAGCCACGGGCGGAAGCTTAAGTTATAACTTTTTGGATGGATGGATTACCTGATGGTAAGCAATCAACGCCGTCCATGGACACCCGCAACGGAGGAGTTACGAGTGCGTTGCCGACCTTTTTGGGGATTAGGGATTTGGAGATTTAGGGATTGAGGAATGATTGGGGGAGGGGAAGGATTGGGCCTCCGGTAACCTCACTCACACGGCGAAACACAACGCTGTGGTTGTGTCACGACGGTTTTCTGTGAGGCCGTGGTATCACTCCGGTCGAGCCGACCCATTCGTGCCGAAGCATGGCTCTCCCACACTTAAACTACTTAAGTACACCTGCCATTCATAAGACCATTGCTCTCATTACCAAACCAGTTCATCTATGTAGATACATATGTATGTTTGTATGTTGAACATTGTTTTAAGCAAAGTGTCTCATATTTATGTAGGTTAGTGAAAGTCACCAATTCGATGTCCGGTCCGCGCGCACGTGGTGTGAATAATTTCACTTGGCATTAATTGATTTACTTATACATATACATACATATGCGAGACTGTTATGAGGTTATGTTTTGTAGCGGTTGACTTTATTTTACCACCGCTGCTCTTGATGCGGGTGTGGTATACCCATTCGAGGATTTGATAGAGACTTAACTATGGGTCTCTGGATTCTTTGATGAACATGTGCCTTTTTTACCTGCGATCTCCATCACGCTTGGTAAGCGGATTTATATGGAGATGTAGATATTTGCGGATAGAACCACTTAAGTACTTATCTATACTAATATTATAAAGAGGTAAAATTTGTAAGTTTGTATGTTAGTAAGTTTGTATGTAGGGGGTCATCTTTGTAACCGCTGGTCGGATTTCCAAAATTCTTTCACTGATAGATAGCTACAATGTTCCTGAGTGCTAAATGGTCGAGCCGATCCATTCGGGCCGAAGCACGGTTCTCCCACACTTTGTTCTTATTATGATAAATGTTAGGTATATTGCGAACATCCAAAGAGTTTTAATACATTTATTAAATAAATTAAAGACAAAATCTTCGCATAATAATTACATATGAGATGAAAATCTCATACCAGTTAAGGAGATGTCGTCTTACTTATAAACGGACAAACTTTCTCACCATAGATATCTCGCATAGTTTTCACTTGACCAAAAACAAACAGTTAGCATTACACAGTTTATTTAACCAGCGTTTGTTAACTGCAGTTAAAACTGTACCTTATGAAAAGTGAAAAGGTTTTTTGTGATACGGCGTCACACGAGCAGATGGATTACCTGATGTTAAGCAATCGACGCTAACCATGGCATGGACACTCGCAGAAAAGTCGCAAGTTCTTTGCCTTTCTTTTGGGGATAAAGGGACTTTTGGGATTTAGAGGTTGGAGGCAGGGGAAGGATTGGGCATCCAATAACCCCACTCATACCGCGACACACAACTGTGGTTCTTGTTAAAATGGTAGTCGTGGTGTTACCGTCATCCCCAGACATATTTAAGGCTTCAATGCATAGTTGACACGGTGGCTTGACGCCCACTGTCGTTCAACATGTCGCGAGTTCTTTCAGACCGGGTAAAAAATGTTTGCATTAACTTCATCCGGATTTTAAAAACTTACTGGAGTTCTACAATAGTGGTACATTAGTTCATACGAAATACTTTCTATATACAAATTTATCCAAATTATAGTGGAATAGACACTTAAATTTGGAATGAAATAGCTGCTATGCTAGGGTAAATATTATGCTAGCGTATTTTAATAGGCATTTTTTTTTGAACCATGAATTCAAAGGCGCTTTGAACCTGTTTGTTTCTTAAGTAAAGTTTTTAGAAACTAGTTACCAAACCGCAGCCTTGGCCTGAAGCAAGAGAAGGAATAAGTACTTAATATTGTGGACATTCCTGGGCGGGAGAAGTCATTTGATGACATACCTTTCTCAAAAAAAGCCTCAGCCTGGACCAGGAGAGGAAACAGGGTCGGTTGTAGTCAACAGCCTGACATTCCCTCTTAATCCCTCAATTCCAGAGTGGCAGTAAACCATCCCAATTGCTTACCATCAGGTGATCCGACTCCCATAGAAACTATATCTTACCAAATTTCGCTAACCGAACCATTTCTTCCACAGAGCGCTCGGCAAAAAACACCACGAAGGCGGCGGAATCGACAGCATCACAATCTCCACCAGCGGAGACATGAAAAAGACGAAGAAGAAGAAGACCAAACCTCCCAAGATCCACTTAATCCATCCAGTGATGATGCCACTAAGGAAGGCTCCTAAAGAAGAGAAAGGTCGCAACTTTGGCTCTGGTGTTCAGTCCTGGGTGATCGGAGAAAGGTCTTTGCCTGCCCAAGAGAATGCGACTGAAGTTTCCAGAGGCCTGGTGACAGATTTCTGGGCAATGGGCCAGAATGCTCTGGATTCTCTCGCCGAGCATGTTGTTGAGAATGAGAATCTAGAAAATGGAATTAAGGATAGAAGTTCTGTCGAAGGTTGGTGGTTGGTGCTAGATAGTTCTGGTGTTGGTTTTCTTTTCGCAGGATATCTGGTCTTTTGTAGTGCGGTTCTGTTAGTGAAAATTAGGTTACGTTGCCCGCTTCTAGACGTCATTGAAGAAGATATTTTTTTTCTGTGATAGGATGGCAGATGATCACACAAATAACCTGATAGTAAGCAACCAGCGCTGACAATGAAAACCGACAACATCAGAGGAGTGCGCTGCAAGTCGTTTGGGGATCAGGGTTTCGGAGATTTAGGGATTGGATATAGGAAGAAGCAAAGGGACTTCGGTAACCTCACCCACACGGCGAAACACTAGGCTGTGGTTGCTTCCAACAGTTTACAAAAAAAATTAAGTGTAGTACATGCTAAACTGCCATTTGAAACAATGAATGTATTTAGGTATGTCAAGGCCATAAAACGGCACTTTTAACATACACATTACATATACAAAATAATCTAGATGAATTGGGTATTTCTTATCAGACTACTCCGAGAAAAAATGCCTATTCAAACTCAGAGGTCCGTCTCTTTTACAATTGATAGATTACATTCATAAACTTCAAAATCTACAAACGGACACCATAATCCACCATATCACCAATAATATGTTTTTTATGTGATAGTTCGGCAAACTAGCAGTCGGATTCCCTGATGGTAAGCAATCAGCGACACCCGCAACAACAGAGGATAACGAGTGCGTTGCCGACATTTTGGGGATTAGGGATTTGAGAGATTTAGGGATATGGGAAGGGGAAGGATTGATCCTCCAGTAAACCTCATTCACACGGCGAAACACAACGCTGTGGTTGTTTCACGCCGGTTTTCTGTGAGGCCGTGGTATCAGTCCGGTCGAGCCGACCCATACGTGCCGAAGCATGGCTCTCCCACACTTAATATCCTAAAAAAATGCATATGAATGATGAAATTTCGACATATACATACTACGTTCAAGAGAAAGTCTTAAAGAAAGCTTTTAAACCAGATTCGATAAGCAATGATGATTTCGCCAAAAAAAGAAGAAACCAGTTATTTGAAAAAACTGATATTAATGTGTGACTAATCAAATATGTGATGTGATAGATATTTGTTGATTTTACCATGTAGGATTTTGTCATGGGGATTCGAATGTGATTGGAATCGATTTGACGCCTTCTCTTGTTTTATTTGAAAGTGTTATTTATTTAATACAACTCACAAGTGTGGGAGAACCATGCTTCGGTACGAACGGGTCGGCTCGAACCGGAGTGATACCACGGCCTCAGAGAAAATCGGCGTGAAACAACCATAGCGTTGTGTTTCGTCGTGTAAGTGAGGTTACTAGTTACTAGAGACCTAATCCTTCTTTCTCTCTGCCAGTACCTCCCTAATCTCTAAATATGCGAAACCTTATGCTAATAGGTCGGCAAAAGAGATGGATTACCTGATGGTAAGCAAACGCCGCCGCCCATGAGCACTCGATACACAAAAGGAGTTACGAGTACGTTGCCGGCCTTTTAGTGATTAGGGTTTCGGAAATTTAAGGATTAGGGAGGGGTGTTGGAAGGGGAAGGATTGGGCCTCCAGTAATCTCATTCACAAAGTGAAACACTACGTAGACTTAATTGTGTTATGTTATACGTCCATTTATATTATGAAACAGGCATTTGGGAACTGAAAAATATTATACCTACTTTTCAAAATAATTATACGTATTTCTGATAATTTATTAAATTCAATTTGATTTTATTAAAGTTACAGAAACCTTTAAATGTCTACACTTATGGTAAAGAAAATATTTTTTTTATAATAAATTATGCATTTTGTATGCATGGAATGTTTCCTTTATTTATTTTAGATCAATTATTTATTTTGTAGAATTGATTACAAGCACGAGCATGCTAGTAAAAAAGCATGAGCATTTATAAATAGAAAATATAAAAAAATGAGCATGATTAAAAATTTATTCATTTTATTTATTAGATAAATTTATTTTAAGCATTAAATAGAGCACGAAATATAATTAAATTTATATAAATTCAAGCATGACTCCGATATTTTTTATTTTATTTTAATTTTAATGTATTTCTTTAAACTTCTAGAACAAAGAGGCAAAAAGAAGAAGAAAAAGAAGGCTATCCTCAAGCTGCTGATTTTGGGTGCCGTCATCAAAGCGAAAATTGGAACTTTATTACAAATTCTTACTTACAAACTACAGGTAATTAACGTATTTTAGAGTTTTTTTGTAACTTTTTCAGGCGTTTTTCTCTAATTATAATATTTTTAACAAAATAACTGCATCAATGTTAATATTTTAAATCCAAATTATTTAAATAGTGTAGTTAGCGTTCGAATGAAATTGAATTAGACTCCTCAACATCTCGATTATGATTTTTAAAATGATGTCAGTCAATTAAATAACGCTTACCAGTCAATAAAACTAAAATAAAATAAAAACAGAATAATACATTTTATAGTCTTTAGTCTGAAAAACACCGTCATTTATTTTTAACCAACTTAATAAAATAATAATAGGTAACCTATGAAATTGCCGTTCTGCAGTACTGGCCATTTCAAATCAAAATAGTTTTTGTTAGGCTAAGGCTAATTAATTTTGTTTTAAAAACATGGGATTGTTTTTCCAAAAGTAGTCGTCATTTGTTTATTCATTAGTGTTACATGTTCATCGCATTTCAAATCAAAAAATTCGTTTAAATTTTTTCATGCAAAACGGCAATTTCATAGCTATAGACCTATTATGAAAGAGGTTATATTATATTAACTTCTTAGTTTAAAACCAAAAACTTTTTTAAATACTTTATTGAAATATAAACAATTTATCCTTATCTTTTCTAGATAAAATTCTTCATAGTAGCAGTGCTGGGCTTGGCAATCAACTTGGCAAGACTTTGGATAGACCTGAAGAACAAACACAGTCAACAGCCGCAGAAGGTAAGCAGATCTCACTTATTTCTGGCTATCCTTAGCCCTTGCTTAGGCCTGGATCAGGAAGACTGTCATTGAAAAACCAGTTTGAAAATTTTCGTTCAATTTTAAAACTAATAATCTATACTAATATTATAAAGAGGTAATGTTTTTAAGTTTGCATGTCGGCGGTAAACTTTGGAACCGCTGGTTGGATTTCCAAAATTCTTTCACTGATAGATAGCTACAATGTCCTTGAGTGCTATAGGCTATAAAACATTACTCTTCGATCAAATAGAGCCGAGCAGCGGGTGAAACCGCGCGAGAGTAGCTAGTATATTATAAAGAGATACAATTTTTGAGTTTGTATGTTTGTTAGTTTGTATGTAGGGGTAATCATTGGAAGCGCTGGTTAGATTCAGTTGGATTGCCAAAATTCTTTCACTTATAGATAGCTACAATGTCCCTGAGTGCTAGGTATAGGCTATAAAACATCACGCTAATATCAAATGACACCACTGTCATACGGTGAACATCATGAGGAAACCTGGACTAATAATGTCTAATTATAAGTTTGAAATCGCCAATCCGTCTTGAGCAAGCGTGGTGATCAATGCTCAAGCCTTCTCCGAGTAAGAAGAGGCCTTTGCGCAGCAGTGGGCACTACTTGTAGGCAGATGATGATGGTGAACTATCAATATAAAAGACAAATCATTTAGTTACACCATTATCTTCTTTATATAATAAGTATATAATTCTGCTGTACGTGTGTATGTCATTGAACTCCACCTAAACGGCTTGACCGATTTAAATGTTTTTTCTGTAAGTATGCGTTAGAATGGCGCCCTGGATGGTTTAGATTTACAAATAAGTCTGGTAGATAGCGCTGATAGAAGCTGAAGCTGAAGCAAGTGTAAGTGTGGGAGAGCCAAGCTTCGGCACGAATGGGTCGGCTCGAAATGATACCACGGCCTCACAGAAAACCGGTGTGAAATAACCACAGCGTTGTGTTTCGCCGTGTTAGTAAGGTTACCGGAGGCCCAATCTTTCCCCTCCCCCGATTCCTCCCCATCCCTTAATCTCCAAAACCCTAATCCCTTAAAGGTCGGCAACGCAATCGTAACTCCTCCGCTGCTACCACCAGGTAATCCGCTGGTCGCTTGCCGACCTATAACATAAAAAAGCATGTGATCTCGGAAACGGCCCTAACAAGTTTGCTGAAATTTAATTAATATGGGGGTTTTCGCGGAAGGTCCGATAATAGTGTATATTATACACTTGTGTTTCAATGAATTAGACATGTACTCTCCTGCTTACTTCTTCAAAAACAGATGACGACACATCTTGAATTAATATATATCATCATCATTCTTTATTAACTAACTAATGAAAGCGACATTCATTTTCATCCACTTTATGAGTCATTAAAAAGAACAAACTGCGATATTGGATTAACCTACATAGTTATTGAAATAAACTGGTTTTTGTTTTGAGGTTCAAAAGATTTGAATAGAGAAAATAATTACTCTTAGTCTTAATTTTAATTAACCTGTGCATAACCATTAAAGTGACTACCTCTGCTCAACTCCTGTTAGTCGTAGCGTGATGTTTTATATCCTATAGTCTTCCTCGATTAATAAACTATCCATAACAAAAATTATTATTAAATTCGAAACAGTATTTTCGGAGAATAGCGTATTCAAACAATTAAACTCTTAAGCTTTGCTGAGTAAGGTACCTCGGCGGCGTTCGGAATGAAGCAGGAGATGAAACGGGGAGGTTTAAGAGTCTGACTCTCCCTCTTAACCTTCGCGAGAAAGATCAATCCATGATTTTCGCCTCACAAAAAAAATGATTATTGATCAATTTTTTATGAAATAGGTCGGCTAACGAGCTGACTGATTACCTGATGGAGTTAGTTAGGATAAAGGTTTCGGATAATTAAATATTTAGGAAGGCATTGGAGCAGGGAGAGTGATTGGGCCTCCGGTAACCTCACACACACGATAAAACACAACGCTATGTTTGTTTCACTCCGGTGTTCTCTGAGGCCTAGGTATCACTCCGGTCGAACCGAAGATAGACTTTCCCACACTTAATTAATACGTAAGTCGATAGAATAAACCCTATTGGAGATATTAGAGAACAGGGTGGAAAGTTCCTCATATGGAGTTGAAAAGGGAGAATATTGCGACCAGGCGAGGTGTTCGTGCCTGGTGGGCTACTGCCCAAAGGTTGTTGTCGTAATTTTTGTATCGGTGCTAATTGTGTTGTAAACTCTTATAGCGCGATGTAGAATCTTGCACGTGATTGGTGCTGTTGTTAAAGTTGTGCGATAGATGTCGCTACACCCTCATCAATATTCCATCGGCATTTAAAAGTAAAATGCTCAATTAAAAGCGACTTCACGGTATTTTAAGTGAAGAAATCTTTATTTATAAATCTATTTTTGGACATCTCTCACATACGTTGATGTGCATTTATAAGCAGAAATATTAATAAACTTTTACTTGACGACGCCGGTCGTAGTAAAATGTGAAAATATCATATTATCACAACACATGTAGCCATTAAGACTCGGTTTTATTAAACTAGTTCGCGGTTTTATACAGTTAAAAATCTACATTTATTTTTAACTAGCTACTCTCGCGCGGTTTCACCCGCTGCTCGGCTCCATTTAATCGTAGCGTGGTGTTTTATAGCCTATAGCACTCAGGAACATTGTAGCTATCTATCAGTGAAAAATTTTGGCAATCCGACCAGCGGTTCCAAAGATTACCCCCTACATACAAACTTACAAATTTTACCTCTTTATAATATTACTATAGATGGTACATTATGTGTCTGTGATATTGTAAACTAGATATACGATAAAAAGAAAGCCGTGTTGTGAATTAAAAATGGGGTTGATAACAGAGTTTCATCATCATCAGCCAATAAGTGCCTACTGCTGAGCAAAGGCCTCTTCTCACACGGAGAAGGTTTGAGCATTAATCACCACGCTTGCTCAATGCGGGTTGGCGATTTCAAACTTACAATTAGAAATTATAAGTCCAGGTTTCCTCACGATGTTTACCTTCACCGTATGTCAGTGGTGCCTAAATAATGATAGAAAGTACATATAACTCGGAAAAAGTCACATTGGTACTTGCCAGGTTTCGAACCCACACCCACATGCATGAGAAGCGGGCTCCTTAACCTCCAGCCCGCCACGACCACAGAGTTTAAAATTCTATAAATACTTGACATCCGTCTCTTTGATAACTACACACTACATAGTATAAAACAAAGTCGTTTTCTCTGTCCCTATATCCCTATGTATGCTTAAATCTTTAAAATTACGCAACTGATTTTTCTGCGGTTTTTTTAAAGTTAGAGTGATTGAAGAGGTAGTTAGAGAAGACGAAAGAACGGGGTCTTTTAGTTAGTGACACTCCGACGGCGGGAGAAGTCATTTGATGATTTTTCCCTAAAAAAAAACCAGCACCAGTAGCAGCGCGACAGTCGCCGACTCGCGTATCGCGGAATGCTGCTCATGAATATGGGCCTCTAGCATGGCTTGAAACTAGTCGAGTATCTCGTCAAATTATTACGTGAGTAAGCCGAAAACATAATTAAAAAATCTTTCGGTAACCGCGCTCACACGGTGAAACACAACGCTGTAGTTATTTCACGCCGGTTTTCTGTGAGGCCGTGGTATCACTCCGGTCGAGCCGACCCGTTCGTGCCGAAGCATGACTCTCCCACACTAAAAAGACTTCGACTCTCCCAAACAAGAAGGAATGTAATGATATGTATCAAGGTGAAATATGTGTGCGTGACGGTATGTCTGTCTGTCACCGACTGATCTATTAAACTATTTAATATTAATGAGTGTTAGCTTCACTTTCCGTCTGTGTGTTGAGATCGAATAATTTAGACTACACTGCACTTTGGAACGAGTAAATAGCTTAGAACCAGAGGACAGACTGACAGACTGACACAACCAAAGTTGCAACTTTTTGAAATATTTATTTTTATTTGAGGTTCAAAAGTGCCTATCGTGGTCTATAGAAATAAATTATTTGACTTAGACTTTGACTATAGAGATTCTAACTGATGATGATGATGATGATGATGATAACTGCACGGTTGGCGCGGTGACTAGCAACTGGCTGCCGCGTAACGAGTCGCGGTTTCGATTCCTGCACGGAACAACTCTTTGTGTGATCCACAAATTGTTGTTCCGGGTCTGGGTGTGATGTGTATGTGGAATTGTATATTTGTAAACGCACCCATGACACAGGAGAAAATCCTAGTGTAGGGCAACGAATTGTTATTTATTCTTGATAACCTTTCGGTTTAAGACATCTACACCACGTAAAGAGTAATTAACGCCCTTAATGGCTTTGTATTTTTTTTTTTGTAAGTGTAAAATCTTCTCTCCCCCTCAGGGTAAGGCGAAAGAGAGAGTGTCAGACTCTTACTGACTTAAAACCCCCCGTTTCTTTTCCTGTTTTAGGCCGATTCCGCAGTGCAACATTGCGCTCACCCCGCAACCGCGGTGGCTTTGTTAATGATGAGATTGAGATAATTAATTAGGGTTATAATCTGTCGTTAACTCGGAAACTGTTTAGCACGACCGCGATGCGCTGTAGAGATGGTTTGTTTGTCTCCTAGCCGCTTTCTCAGAACATGATCTAGGCATTACCTGTATAGGGTTACCACTTTCCACTATGTAGTTTTTGTTTTGTAGTTTTTCTTAAACTGTGAAAGAGCTATTTTTAACTTATGTTTTATTTGTACCATGATTCCTTTTCTTATGGAGAGGTTCAATGTATAGTTCTTTGTTTCCCGGAGGAAAAGGCGCCCGATACAGGAAAGTGCCTTTTTTGACATTCAATAAAATTATTGAATTTGACTAGTTGGAAACTGCTATTGATTTTCTCCAGTCATCCTTCGAGTCATTTTGGGTGACTATCAATAAGGAATGTAAGGGATGTACAATTCCAGACTTACGACTTTTTGACGTGCTTTAACATATAAAA